CCCTTATCATATCACAGTTGCAGTGGGTTTGCAAAGACTATTAACAAAACCGCATTAAAATGCATCTTGCTTTGCAGACCATACCTCAATGTCTTCAATGCACTAACATAACAACTTTTGAAAGTTTTTTTTCCATGTACAACACTGCCATTTGATAAACTCTAATCAATTTAATCAACCAATATAAGTTACAGATTAGGTAACCCCATCCAAATAATAGATTAGCGGATTAATACCTTCTCTTTTTTCTTCTTTTCTGCCTCTTCAGCTCGCTTCTTCTTTAACCATTCTTTATACTTTACTTCAGCCTTTTCTTGTAACTGCATTTTTTCTAGTTCCTTTGTGGCTTTTTCTGCCATTTCTTTGCTCAGCTTTCGTTCCCTTTCCCTTCTTTCCTACATGACACAGATCAAAGAAACAGAACAGAAACTTTTTGGTATATTTCAATGGGCAATTCTTTTGAGGTATAGAGTTAATTTTATTACATAATTACAAATAAAATTAGCATAACCCTGAAAAAAAAAATCGTATTGTAAGCTCTTTGAAGACAGAACCTATTCACTGATAGGTTCCAGATAAAATAGTTTTAAACATATAAACTTGTCACAAAACATGATAAAAAGTTAATGTTCAGGACTCCTTATGCTATTATGTTTACTACTCCGTTTTATTTATTCAGGTATTTTTGAAAACACTTCATACACTCCTCAATATTTCTGGGAAAGAAACAGCTGTTGCAATTCTTGACAACAGTGTGTTAGTTTTACTATCCAGTGGATCCAGAGCAAACAACAGTTCCAAATGGAAGTCAGGCAAACTGCCCCCTTCTAAGAGTCATTGAGATATGCACATTGTTCAGCACACTTAAGCATAAATTGATACAAAAATAAGAAGTTCACATAAAAATCCAGTTCATGTTTTGTGGTATTCTCTACAATTTTTATATTCTTTAGTTTATTTGTATATGGATGAATCAATCTACGTATTGGATCATATGGATATGAATCAATCTACACATTTCTCCTCTTCAAACGACAAAAGGGAAAATGAGAAAACACATTCCAGGGTAGGCAAAAAGTGGTAACTGAGTGTGAAGCGAAATTGCTACCTGTATAATTTGGAAGATACAATACACAGAGACATCATTCACTTCTTGGTCTTTTCAGCGTGTGTGTATCTAACGGTACAGAACAATGTTTTGGGCACCATTGTCTACACGAACAAGCACACATCGATGTCTTTTTCTTGATCTGAAGAGGGAGGTATTTTCATTTGAAGACTAACGATAGCTCTCACTTCCCTTCCCTGTAACCTTTATGAAATGTCTGGGATTCTACTGATTCAGTACTAATTCTGCTTAGCTTTGCTTGGCTCTGAAGAACCTGCATACACACTTAGAGGCAAAATTCTTTCCTAGACAAGCTGTGAACATGACTTGCAGGACAAGGAGAAGACCTGAGATCAGTTTTCACTTTATAGAAAAGAACCGTTGAATAAAAATGTTTTTCTTTTAAGAAATCTTTTTCTTGTGTGTTCCCCTGCATACTCCTCTTGAACAAAGGAGACGTGTAGTTTAGCAGGAACTTAGGCTCACTCAGAATTATTATAGTTGGCAGTATGGATGTCAAATGCCTAGGACTATAACTGCAGAGTATAATAAATAAATGGAAAAGAGGAAAATCACATATATAAGAAGAGCATGAAGATATTTCTCTTCCCATTTTACCTCTTATAAGCACAAAAAGGCAGAAAAATAGAGCTAGCTCTGCCCTGCTACTCCCACGGGCCCCCCCACCCCTTTTTTCCAGATTTATTGCACTTCTGGAAAATCCGATTATGCATAATGAAGCAGAAGCCATAATACTGGAGCTGGGAACCAGCACAATTCTCTCCGTCTGGTCTAAACAGGATTTCTGCTGGTTCAGTCCTTGTCCTCCATACCAAAACTTACCAGTAGTCCACTAAAGTAGCACCATGCAGAGTAAAAATTTTAGCTTATATTGCCCTGAAAAACACTAACTAATTTCTGCCATTTATTGGATGAGATGACGAGGTGCAAAAGCAGGGCCAATAAAGAGAAAATGCATTGCTTTCAGGTTAAAACACTTGCCAATTTTTTGTAAGACACAGTATTGGATAATAAATGCTTTCATGTTTGAATCCTTATCCACACTACATGAAATTATCTCAATAAAGAAATCATTCTATGCATAATCTTAGCTTAGTCTTGGCATTCATTTTCTCCAAGTATGTCATAATGCTCAACTGCAGACTTCTTATCAGAAGAAGCCAGTTTACAGAATTGCCTGAGTTAGTGTGCTCCATTCTGTATCTGCCAACACTAGAATTACTACAATTTTAACATTGGCAGCTAGATTATGCATTAACTGTGGGGGAGTTTCCCCTTCCTTTTACAAGCTATGCCTTATTAACAACCATAATCTCCAAGATGGATGTTTCTTCATGTAAACCCTGATGATACTTGCAGCACCACTGTTTTAATATGCTCTTGTCCAATATTCTTATCTGACAACAAAGAGTTATTTGTGTACACACTGCACACAATTTCACAAAACAATTAACTATATTTTCTCTTTGGTATTTTTTTTCAGTTCACTTTTAATACATTCTAGTGAACATCAGCTGAATCTGTTCACAGTGCAGGGAAAATGGTCAGATATGAACATACTCCAATTTCAACGTATATTCTGGAATGTAAAACTTCATAGAGCTACAAAAAAATGGAAGTCTTCATTAATGTGATTTCACAACACTGCTTGTAAGGCCTGTACATGTGATAAAACTATTATTTACAACTAAGACCAACGAAAAAAATAATTTCATTCTGCAAAATAAAAAGTTGATATTCTGAAACGTCTTTGTACTAGCAAAGAATGGAAACAAGATCTTTCTTAGCATGAAACAAACCGTTCCATGCTTAAATACGTTAAAAAGGAAAAATAAGCTATTTTTGGTAAATTATGCAGATCCTAAGTATCACTTGCCTGAAAAACAAATGAACAATTGTCTAAGCTTTTCCTCCTCCTTTGTCTAAAATTCATCTTAATCTCTTTTATTCAGAGCTGTTCCTCTGTCCCTTCATTACCAAATATTCCCCAAATGCATCTCTCAACAACTCCTGTTTCGAGACAATGGTAGCCTGGGACACATAAAAAACATTAATGTAGATGACAGACATGCTAAAACAGTGAGTTAAAACCGCTGGCAAAGAAGGCTTACAAAGATTTCACATCTTTTGTTGTTTGCTGGTTTATCTCCATTGCACATGAAAGTTACAAAACTAAGGATCTTTCAAAGCTACAGTCTTTAGCTAAGGGTCTTATCATATAAAAAGCATGAAAATAAATACAGGAGAAAACTCAAAAATGGGCCCCTTCCATACCAAGGGGAATTGTTCAATAATGGACAACAATTACAAGCAGAAAACACACTAAAAACCTTTCTAAAGACTGTAATTAAAAGGCAGGAAAGCTGCTTAAATTATGTATCTTTAATCACAACACTTCACATGAGTTTAGCTACTATCTAGGCTGACCCAAAGTTAAATTAGGTCCTATGTAAACAATTATATGGCATGCACACTACCATGAAAGCCACAACTATTGCTAGGTTTTACTTCCAGTGAGACATCCTTAAGACGGTGAGACTCCCTGCAGAATTCCGGACTATGCAGCTGCCTAGAAATTATTCTGCAGACAAATCAGAAATGCTTCCTCTTTCATGCACAGAACAGCTCTTTGTTCATAAAGTTAGTGTACACCACGTTCCCAGCTGCTTTAATAACCTGTTTCACGTCAAGCTACTGTCAGCCTGGCCTTCCCAGCTTCCCCTCAGCCTCATTACTTTCCCTTATACAAGTCTATCAAAAATGCTAGGAATGTGCATATTAACATGTTCTTCAATTCTCCTTTCACTCTCCTACCATGTATACATGGGGGGAGGGAAACTATGTAATTTGTTTATGCTTGGGGTTGTCAGATTGGTTTTTAAAAATTCTCTTTGATCTTGTGTTCAAACCAGACATGATCTATTCACTAAACCACTAGTAAATTTACACACACTTTAAAATATGATTACAGGTATTACATAAATTAAGGTATTGATTATAAACCATCCAATTACTCATTGCAAGAAAGGCTTGTTCTCCCGCCACCCCACCCAAGCACGTTATTATGGAGAAAGGATACAAATCTGCCCCTTGGGTACACTGCTCTGGGCTGTGATCCTATCAAGCCTCAGAACCTAATGAAGCCTGGGCTAGGTCAGTACTTGGAAATCCCCCACCCAAAACAAATCCAGCCATCCCACAAAGCAGTGATGGTGACTCAGGAGGCAGCATGAGTTGCACTGAGTCAGTACCAAACCAATGTCTCATCAGCAGAACTACTAACTTTTCAAGAAAAATCAGACCTATGTAGATGTGAAGAATTGCCAAAGGAATTTAAAATTTGAAGCATCATCCCTCTTTCTTCCTCATAGAAGGTAGAAATATTAAATAATGTTCCAGGCAGAAAACAGCCCAACTGCCATCAAAACAGAGACATTATATCCAACTGGAAGAAAATTAATACATTATATATTTCTGTATTTTCATATCAATGATTAAACGAGTGGCTGGAAAGGGTCAACTGCAGAGCTGCTTTCTGTTCTGCATTTTCTATGTAGAGCGTCACTGAATAAAAATATTTCCAGAAATGAATGTTGTGGTTTATATTTTTAAGATACTTCTCGCAGCAATCTTTTCCCATTTTCTGGTCTGCTGAATGTGACAACATTTTTCTTTTAATACATAACTGATGGTTCTACTTCACAGCTGTTTGCTCTGACATCTTAGCTACTATATTCTAGCATCATTTTATGCTGACTGATGGTGAAATATAGGAAAAGTCCACACTGCCAACATCAGAACATATATCCAAATTTCCTCATTCATCCTCATAATAATCCTGAATGCCAAACACATTTAACAGCCTCAGAAATCTGGGTTGTTCAGCCAATTGTTATTATCTTTTCAATTTAGCCCTATTACACAGCTCAGTCACCAAGCCTAGCCCACAGAAATATTTCTTTAATCTCTCTAGAACTGGCACGTGAAAAGAACAAGAGGCTAGAAAGGAGCTCAGTGAAACAACACTTGTGCCAATGCACAAGCAGGTTTACAACAATTTACTGCTCAAGTTGACGCAAAGTCAATGCAGACCCCACTGCAGTCCAGTAATTGGAGAATTGTAAGATGGTTACATACAAGTCTGAGTGTATTTGGAACACACTTGGGGTCTTCAGAAGAATGCAGACTCCACAAATGCTGCTGAAATACACGTATTTTAATCATCTGCAACCCTGAATTCCTCCTCCACAAGTCTATCCAAAACTC